AGAGGGGTGGTAGATACTTTTAAAGTTGCGTTTGATGCATATCACACGAATGGCAATAGCTCGATTTTTTGATCGTAAAAACAATGCTATCCTGTCAATTATTTGTTCATTAATTAGACGTAAATGTTTATAAAACATATAGATTACAGTATTGAATATAATCGTCTCGATTGATAGACAAATTCGTTCATTAACTCTAGAAGTACTGAGCTGCCACTTTTGATCTTTTCTATTTTTTATTACTGACTTTATTCTAAAATATCAGAGCAAAAAAATTTTAAGATCTTAATATCGGAAAAATATTAATTTATTAAATAAAAAACAGTAAAAGACAACGGCTTGCTATTTCTAATTATGCGATATTGCATTTATTTATAGTGATTTTTTTCAATTCGGTGTTATTTGCAATACAGAAACTTATTATTTTACAATCCTTTTCTCATTGCAACATTCAGTTATAATTAATTCTCATTTTCATTCGTCATATCCTAAAATAAATTAAAGGAATTTCCTCAAAACTGTCCAAACTGAATCCATTATAATGGTATTTCTCGTTATTCCATTATCTTTGTTAACACCTCCGCAAACAAGAATTCCAGACGCGCGAAAAGCGACCGCAAATACCGAGCGAACACAAGGGGGAGAATGCGCGAATACAAGGCGTCCATTCCGCGAACAATTCCTGAGTAAATGGATTTCTATATTCGGGGGATTACTCGGGCGTTTTCCCGAGAATCCGTCAATTTTGGAAGCACCTAGGAGAGCGGAACGGGAGACGTCGCGCGCCACGGATGCCGAGGGTTGACGACGCGCGTCTCGCGCATCGGCGGTTTCATTCAATCAACCCCGGCCTCGGGTCCGGTCTGATGAATCGCGAGCAATACGCCCGAAGACGGACTCGCGTGGCCCGCTTGGCGTTTGACCAGGTATTGGCGCAAAATAACCGGGCGATAAAGCGCCCAGGCATCCATGGAATCCGGACGATCTCTGCCGTAACGTTCCGCGCCGGGGCGGCGAGGGCGGCGCGGGTGTTGCCCCGCGCGTATATGGCACCCTCGTCACCCGACGAGAATTCGACGGGGGAGGAGGTGGAATCGGGCGAGGGCGGGAGGAGAGAGGGGGGAGGGGCGATATTACCCCAAATAGCATCCGCGTGCGGCCGTCAATCGCCGGTCGGCATGCCGTGCGCTTATTATAGGCCCTATCACACGACGGCACGCACCGAAAATAAACCGTCCGCGTGCCGTCCGCGATTTACGCGCAGGTGACCCTCCGGCCCGCGCCGCGGACGCGGGATTTCCCCGAAATCGCGCCCGGAAACTGGAATCCGATCAACAGCGTCGTTAACGCGAGTTAACTTGGGAAGAGCGCGCGAGTGCGCGGCCAAACGCGGGACACGTAATCGGGAAGCGATTCGGGATTGAGATCTTGACCAAACGTTGTTATTGAATTTTCTATCTATCTAGAATAGAAGACGAAACATCTCCTGCGGAAGAAATCGCGGGAGGATTCTTGATCTCTCGTTTGGCAGTGCCGCATATGGTGCCATATGAGATCTATAAACGTGGGATGTGTAAACTCGAAGGTCTGATGAAGAGACATCAGTCCGATGGATTGGAATTAAAGAGATGACTTTCTAACAGTCTAATTCGATCGATATCAAAATTAGAATAAAACTGAAAAGGTGCCGCCTTATTCATTGGTACGTTAAAGTGGCGCTCAAAAATAAGCTCTGGCCGATGATACGGCGTATATTTTTAGACTAGAAAATCCAGAATTAGACCGATCGATCTGACATTCTGTAATACTACGAGGAATAACCGGTGGCATCTGCATCTTGATGCCCCACTTTTAGCTGGCGCCACTCTTCGTAGAATCGGAATCGTTGACATTTTCGAGGCTGTGCTAACAGAGTATAGAGAACTCGGTCGGGGAACTCTGTGGCTGTCCCATAAATTTAAAACTCCCGTAGACCAGCTCGAGCTGAATCTCTCCCCTTTCATTAATTTTTTGCGCATCATTCGGGCTAATAGCCGCGACTAATAAGTACTCGGCGCGAGTACCCTTGATACTTGGAGGTAATTGAAATAAATCTCGAGCGGTTCAAGAGGTCGGAGCAGAAGAGGAGCGGAGACGGGAGAAGGGCGCGCTCTCCTCAAGATCCTTCGGCGTATCTTCGCTACGGCGACGTCTCGCGGATAAAGCAAGGCAGACTACTTCTTGTTGCCGCGCGATGTGTTTCTGCCCCGGCGATTCGTTCTTATTGCATTCGGGAACTCGTCGTTCGGCATTCCGCCGCGGTCGGAATTTCTATTTCATAATAACAGCCGTGCACACACGAACGGGGCCCGATCGTGCGTGCACGCGCGCGCGCGCGCGCGCGCGCGCTTCGGAGAGAGGCCAGCTATCGAGAGAGTCCTCCTCCTCCTCCTCCTCCTCCTCCTCCTTCTCATCTTCTGCTTTGCGCACCTCTAGCATTTGCGCTGTCGGTGTATAGACAAGTATCCACTTCAGACTGGTTTCGACTCGACGGACGGACAGACAGACGAACGGACTCGAGCCCACTCATGGTGTAGCGTGTGTACGTGTTGTGTGCGGTCCGTACTACCCAGCATAAAACCGCGCGCACACCAACGGTGGTGGTCGTCCGGACCCGTCCGGTCTCGTCCGTCCAGATGCGTGCCGACTTTTATCTCTTTGACCCACTATTTTCAGGGCGGCGGTAATTGAGCGGAGTCGCGCGCCGACGAGCCGCCGCTCGTCGGATTCATTAGCGGGATCCACGTCTTAATTTGTCGGCCGTCGGGGAAATGCACGTCTCGCTCGGATTTCGCGAATCTGACACGGCCGGCAGACCGCTCCAGATCACTCCAAATAGTCGCGCCGCGAGCAAGTCAACTCGTCGTTCTGTATCGTGGATAAATCGAGAATAATTTAAAATCGCGTACTTACAGCAATTAATGCATCGTGTCGTTAATACCTCCGCGATTGATATTTCGCATCTTGCGATAAATTTATATATAATGCAATAACGCGGAATCGATTTCTAATGAATAAATATTAACAGTTTTTAATAACAATTTGAAAAACAGATTTAAGATTTTTCTATTTCTGATGTTTTCTAATAATTCATAAAATATTGGTGTTAATCACACACCGGTCGAGTTAGTCCGGAATGAATATATAAAAAATACATGAATTATGCACGTGATTTAAATGCGATAAAGTGCGATTGAATGCGACGTCGTGCTGTAACACGGCGATCCACTATCGGTTCGGACGAGTTCGATTTCGAGCTTCTCAGAGTCGACAACCTCGGAGCGTCATAAATGTTACACCTCGCGCGTATCGGCCTCTTCAATCACGAGACGTCGTCGACGGCTCGACGACGGTGCCTTTTCAGCGAGCTATTAAATTCCGCTCGCTCTTTTCGCGAAGTTGGCGAAGTATTTTTCCTCTCTCGGCCACGCCGCAAGAGAAATTAGGTGGACGGCCAATAATAGCGCGCGTATATTTTCCTAGTATCCTTGAAGAAACACGCTTTTAGATCTCGCTTCCGGCAAGCTTCTTTTTCCTCCTGCCGCGAGGAGAACTCCCGTCGTGCGCGCGAAATCGGCGCGATCGATCGTCCGTCCCGATATCGATAGCCCTACGCCGAACCGCGTTCTCCGTTTCGCGAAATCGCGAAATTCCCCTGACACTATCGCTACGACTGCAACGCGGAACGGGACGAGTCATCGGGGCATTGCGGAAAAATTTCTCGAGCTCGCTGAATCGACGTCGAGTTCGTCGACTTCAGGAAAAGTAAATATTATCCCGCACGGCGCTTCTCCTCGTTTCTCTTCCCCGGCAAGGAGGTATCCCGTTTCAAGCCGTTTTCCTTCCTCGAGGCGCGACTTTTATTGTCCATCCTTGAACGATCGATCGCCGGCATCGTCGTCTCTCGCGAAACCGAACCGAACACCGTCACCGCGGCGGATCTGAATGCGTTCCGCGCGACGGTGACGTATCGACAGGCCGCGACGGAAAACTGCATCGTTACATCTTCCTCTCTCCCCTATCCCTTTCCACCGCCACCCATAACCTCGTTTTCGCATTTGTTTTTTGTTGTTAGATACGCGAATGTGCGTGTACGTGAGGTGTTTCTCGCACGTAACACGTCTGGTCTCCGCATCGCGCATGAGCGAATCTAATTCGTGGAAGAGGCGAAAGAATGCAAGATTCAATTAATCACAATCGGCCGATGATTATAGATACTATACTCTCAGTTTTTTTTTTTCCTCTTGTAAGTCTATTTCTATAATCAGTTATCAGATTGAAATTAAAAAATAATATGTTATAAGATTTTAATGATTCAACTTCGTTTTCTTCGGAAAAGCATGTTTTTTTAAATTGATGCAGCAAATAAGAGATGTCAATACTACGATAAAATTATTCAACAAAAAATAAATAGCGATTTATTATCGGCGTATTACAAACGAAAATTCGCATAAAATAAAGACACAAATGCTCTTTGGCGTGAAAGTCGCGAATCCGACTTTCAGCTTGAAATTAAGGGATGGATTAAGGTCTTACCCGCAGCTTGGAATACATGGAGGTCCCGCCGCGTTCTAAGTTTCTGTCCGTCGTGTGACAGCTGCACTTGTTTCAGGTACTCTCTGTGCGCTCTCTCGTACTCGGCCTGGCTCACGTTCGCCTGGAAACAAAACGCCATAATGGCTTCCTTAAAGCCTCATCATCGGCTCAGAAACGGCCGCTTACGTAACGTTGCGTGTATAATAGCGGCAGGACAATTACAACGCACATACACGGCGAATAAAGTAACTACCGGAAGCGCGTTTTCGCTTCTTGGAATTGTTACAGATAGAAATTTATAGATGCGTCTTTGCGTTCGCTCAGCTCTTATCTCCATTAAGAATAAGGTATCACTTAAATATCAGTAAGATATAAAAAAAAGAAGAGAGAGAGAAAATAAAGCGCAGATATATAAAATAAAATGCGTGAAATGTTGAATCTCTTCAAGAATTCCAAATCCTTTTCCACAGCTCCCGTTAAGAGTGATTTTTAAAAGTCAATCTCCTCGCGGGATTTAAGAATTTAAGGCAAATAATACGAAGGTTGTGTTACAGCTGCGGTTCATCTCTTCGCCGCGTTGCGATTGCCGTTCGATATCTCGAGAGCGCGAAGTGCTTTACAGACGAGATCGTCCGTATTCGCCGACTAAACTTTCGGTCCGATTAATTGATTTTCAGCTACGTCCGGCGAGGTCGAACTCAGAACGATAATTGCTTCGCGGACGTGACATCGAAATTATCTAATTTTCTGGGGTCACGACGCTTCTCTCTCGGCCCGATTAAGTGACGACCCTTTTCTCGCGTCCTCCTCCTTCTGATTCCCGTTCCTTTCTCTGAGAGACCTCACTCCTCCTCCTTTGTCCCTCCACGGGTCTTTCCCGACTCTTTCCCCGTTGCCGCCGCGTTCTTCCCGTTTCCTCGGTCGGCTTCCTCGACTTCAATCCCGACTACTGTTTCACCGACGATGAAACAATCGAGCGAGCACCCTTTTCCCTCCCCGCTCTACCACGATGAGAAAGACCAGACAACGACGAACCGGCGCTCGTAAAATTAGCTCGTTGAGCCCGCGACCACTGGCGCGGTTCGAGCAGACGGAGGATAATGGACCACTAGAGGGTGTGGGAACTCCTCGCGAGTCTTACGTCCGCCGGGTTCAGAGTCCGATTCTACGGCAGGAAACTTTTTACTTTACGAAGCGCGATAAAGGACTGCAATTTATCATCCTTCAATATACACATTTATAAAATCCTCTAAAAACTTATTATCGTTTAGTTTAAAATATTAATCAATTTACAAAAATGCATTAATGAAAACATAATTTAATTTAACAATTCAGGATTTTGCGAGAAGAAATCTAACTGTAAAAAGTGACAATTTAGGATGATTTGCGTGCAGAGCTAAATGTATCTAGACTTAAATTAGTAAAAAAGACTGTGCTTAAAAATAAAAAAAAAGGTATTATATTATGCTGCATTTTTTACATGTGTTAAATCAAATCTCAATGTAAATCTCTCCTCCTAATTTTTATTTCAAAACTTAATATTCATTCCACCATTGTGCGCAGGGCCTTATGATATCTCCGAGACGAGATGCATCTCGGTCGCTGCACCAAACGGCAGAAGTACGTCGTCATGTTGTCGTTGTCGTATCACACATGCGGCAACCGGAAGTGGCGTCGTCGGTGCGAGTGGGGGACGACGCGCGCGCGCGATGATTCATCGCGCGCGATTCGCGAGGAGACGCGGCGCGACTCGACGCCTCCGCAAGTCCCTTTTTACAGTCACTTAACCGCTTGAGAATCGCTTAACTGCGCTCGACCGCGGCGGCCCGGTTCCGGTCGCAGGATTGGCGCGCGAAAACAAATTTGTGGACCGCCGCGGATCCGCACGCGGGCGAGAATTGCACCACGGTGCGAGCGAATGAGTCACGAGAGAGTCCGGGAAACGGCCGAAGCTCCTCCTCTCCTCGACGACCCCAATTTTTCTCAATTACATCACAAATCGCCGAATTAATTTTCGCGATTGGCGCTCTCCACGCGCGCGCCGCCCTCGCGACTCGCGGGAGTGACGAAGAAGTTATTCCTAATCGCTATCAATCTTGCGTTATTGTATGCTAATGTCGTAGCCACCGGAACGCGAGTTGAAGTATTAATCGCGAGACACGCGGTTGATCACCGAGAGAAAGAGACAGAGAGAGATGAAAGAGATATGTATATATGTATTATACAATACTTAGCGCGTGTCGTTTGTCACATTAATCGAGCCTGCCGTTCCTTTTCAGAAACACGTGACACATATAAATCTGTCACGGTCGGTGACTCTGAACGCGAACTCTATGCTAATATTCACGCCCACGTGGACCTGTCAATGCCGCCATGCGCGCGACCCATTAGAAAATGCGCTGTGAGATGACGTATCGTTATTTTTTAAAGCCGAAGTTTGGAATCGCACGACTCGAAGTCAGAGGATGTCGTGGGAAAATGTGGAAACGTGGATTGCGAAAATTGTGCGCACTACCTTGTTATAAATAATGGTAATAAATGCGGCATTCGCGGTTGTAGGAGCGTTAGAAAGCGCATTCTCGCGATCGTCTGGTTATATTTTAAACGAGAAATGTCTGCCGAGTGTCTCAATAAACTTTTACGCATGATAAATCTCTGAGAAATAACGCCTGTCGATGTCGTTTGTTTAAATATTTCTTTATATTATACAATATTAAATACTTGAATAATTGATAAATTATTCGTTTTTCAATCGTTTACAATTACTAACGCTCAACATTATTATTGCCTCGAAATTTTAATCAAGACGAAGACTGATTATAAATTACGACAATCACGGAAACGCGTAGAAATTGCATTTATCCGCTACGAGTTGCAATTTGCAATGTTATATTGCAAATGGTCGCTTAATGTTAATGGTAATAGACTCTCGTTGGTCCTCCGATATTATGCAACATTACCAATGCCATTTCTCACTTTTATGTAAATAACGTGACGTGAGGAGACATCTCTCAAAGTGCTCATCACTGACGAAAGATCTTTTTTTTCCGATGGAGGATGCAAGAAAATAGTTAAAATGTCCTATGAAGGTTTTATATAACGAGACGAACAATCATATCTTTCGAATGCATTTGTTTCCGTGAAAATTATGCGAGGATCCTTGATCCTTGAAGACACAATTCGCATTACCCGAGATTCGCTACGCGGGATGCACGCATTGTGCAACATCCGCGCGTGCATCTCCCACGTTCGCGAAGAGACGCGTCTTGATGGATTTATTTATTTTTGCGCACGCGTTCGCAAAACAGATGCATCTCGCACGAGGCGTCTCAGACGTTCCGTCCTTCGTTCTGGAACAGGAGCCAGGAGCACAGGTCTCAATTTTGTGCAACAAGTATGTCCCGGATGTCTTCAATTGCCGGGGCCTTCCGATTGGCGTATATACGGCCAATGACAGATATCCGGATGCCCGGATAATGGATGTTTCAGAGGCGCGCCAAACGCCTCGGATGCAGCGGATAATCATAATGAGAGACGGCCCGCCGCCGGCGATGCGTATCTCGCATTAGTAGAAAACCATTAGGTTATATTTATACTGTTGAATGAAGATGATTGTAATGCGCGCGGCGGGAACCTCTCTCGTGAAAAGAAACTCTGCGACTTCTAGATCAATTGTTTAGGCTAATCAATTTTAATCACCTTCGATCGCCCGTAGCTTCACACAAAAAAATGATGAAAAGTAATATCTTTATATATAGAAAATTAATTTCTCTCTTGCAAGGAGATAATTTTTTTCATATATAAAAAAAATCTAGAAAAATTTATATCGGAGCTTGTTCGTTGATTCGCGCGTTGCGTTATTAAACCGAAGCTTATAATTATCGCGATTAATGACAATTGCACATTAACAATAATGAAGTTCCTCTTCGTTGCCTGCGCGTCTTATCCTTATCTCATCGCAACATCGCTGTTATTTAATCGCTCGTCGCGAGTCCTTCCACCGGCGTGACGCGAAAAAAATGCGTGAGAAATTTTCACGCGGCCTCAGCGAGTCCACTTTACGAGAATGTGAGTCGACGTGGCGCAACGCCGCGCGTCGATTCCCTTTTCCTTTTTTTTTCTCCTCACTTGTACGCCCATGTCGGGAGAACGTGCGAGGTATATATGACATTTTCAACGAATAAACATGAAGGTAAAATGCAGCGCCGATCGGCCGTGAACGGATTAATGCGTCGCGCATTCCCGGGCTTCTATGCGTGCCAGTTCGTTGTCGTTCTCGTCGTCGTTGTCGTCGTCGAAAGCTTTCTCTTAAAATTTAAGCCAATCATAAATCTCGTTAGCGTCGATTCAAACCGTGCGATCGCCGCGTTTGTTGTCGCGACGGCGTCGGTCCGCCTTTGAATCATTTCCTCGGCATCGGGTTTTCGAGCGAGCCCTTCGTGAACGAGGGCGTCGAACAGACAAGCGTTCACGGTACTTATTGTACCGTATCGAAATAACGTACGTTTTGTTAGGGAGTCATTAAACCGAAAAAAAACGTGAGATCTCCGAAACCCTGAGCCTCACGACTCGACGAACGACGACACGTCTCTCTGTTTATTCCTACAGATTATAAATATTTAATTATGTAAAATAGTGCAGTTCTAGACTAATATAAATTTTATTCTTTTCTTTTTTTAAATTTTTTTTTATGTTTTCTTTCGAAATAAAGTAATAAAGCGCATTTCTTTCTCCTTTAGTAAATAAACTTTTAGTGAATTAATAAACTGTAATAAATATGTTATTTTAATCAAGAG